GACTAGATTTTATTGAACCACTCCATTTAAAAAAAGTTATTATCCGTTCAGTTTTTTTATATCTTTACTAGAATTTGTAGAATTAAGTTGTAATTTGCCAACTTAAACACCCTTACATTTGAAAATATAGAGATTAATAAACATTTGACCCACTAAATTAATTTTATATGATTTTTGTTTCCCTTATTTGTTTAAATGCCACAAAACAACTAAGCCTACAAAAATATTTTGTTTCAGTCCCTTAAAGGTAAATGACTTGCTGCTACCATTTGATGGGTTCGGTACATATTCATTCCACTGCATTCATATGATCGTCATTTGATATGTATGGTTCTAGAGAGAAAAAAGATAATAAAGTGTTTTGGAAATTATTCTTCATTGTGTTTTGGACATTTGTTGTTTAGACTCCCCTACCTGGAGCAAGAAGTCGCCTGTCATCTAAAGCATCTGACATCATTTTTTTTAAATGTATTATTTTTTTTAATGTGTCAATGTGAAATACTAGATCAAATGTTGTGCAAAGTTATGCATTGTGACAATACTTTAACATAATGGGGCAGGCAGACAAAAAAAACACAAATCACAATAAAAGAGATGCATGTGAATTATGCTATATAAAAACTATGTATGTTTTGTTAGGAATAGACTATGCTTTACTGTTTAGAATGATGTATTACTCTTACCTTTATGAGCAAAAATGACTGCGTATTTTAAGTTGTTTCCACTGTTAGAAAAAAATGCAAGTGATCGCACTGGCGCCTCCGTGTCTTGCAGAGCGCGCTTCAGCTTCCACTCCTCCGCAAACGATTGGATATGCGTCTAACAGCGCATATTTATCTAGGTTAAACATTTAAACTAGCATTGTGATATACTTGAACTGTTTTATACAGTATATAGATTTTATTTTAGGCAAGTCATGATGATTTGAAAAGGCTAAATTGATCAAACATATAGGCTATGATCAATTCACTGTCTGCCGCTGGTCGTTACTTAAAAAAAAACTGAACAAACAAACAACAAAAAAAGGAACCTCAAGGTTGATCTAAGAAAACCCTAATGTGTAACATGTGCAAATGTATCGGGCCCCATTCCTATATTTTACCTGGGGCCCCCAATTCACTAAATCCGCCCCTGGCTATGCATTTAGGTTGAATTATTCCACTCAGTTGGAATGAAATTCACATGGAAAATCTGAATTAATAGGACCATAACTATTCTATCTGGTCAAGACGTGTGTGGGAAACCGAATAATACCCCCTTTTTTTTTTGTAATCAGATTGATGAAACTGAATATATCACATTTGTTTATGCTTTTAGAACACTAACTTTTATTCTTGTCTGAAGTGTTATTAAAGAGGAATTAAGGTGTTATTGGTTAACTCTTATGAACTGCAGTTTATGAACATGTATAGGCTATCTACGGGTGCCATAAGCACCAGAAGAGAGTTTAAATCCATTTTTTGTTATATGAAAGGATCACATTTTAGGTTACACTTTATTTTAAGGGGTCCTTGTTACAGTGTTAATTATACATTTATGTTCGGAGTAATATTACTTAACATATACTTGCTATATGGTTAGGATTAGGGTTTGGCTTTGGGTTACTTGCATGTAGTTATGCATAATTTATTGTTATTATAATAGTAAGTACATGTAACCTGTAACTAGGACACCTTAAAATAAAATGTTACCACATTTTACCTTACATTTATCAATAACCATGTACTTACAATACAGTTGAGTTTTTTATTACACTTTTTTTCTTGCATAAATGAATTAAATGCCATATATAGGCTATTATATGGTAGCCATAGTTTGCATTACAGTTTACATTAAAATGTTTAATTGCTACAGTTATTATTACACTAAACTTTGCCAATTTTATGTTATCCAGCACCAAGAAAGAAAGGACTGGAATTCTGAAAACTTCTTACATGGTTCTCATATAGGCCTATTGTCTTATTTTTTATTTATGTATTTTTTATTACTGCAACAGTGATTGTAGTAGCTGTGATATTTTGGCAGAATTGTCGATTTGGGTACTAATAATACAGTATTAATTGTTACACTGAAATATTTGCGAATCTCGAGCTTTTAAGACCCAGAGGGGGTCCGTCGCTCCATCTCATTGATTACGTATTAGAAGCCGTATCTTCAACCCGGTGGTCAGCGTGTCTTAATTGACAAGTGGATTCGGTCTTTCAGCGCTGCTTCACGGGGTCGTGTCGACACAAGTCAACACCTGCAGCCATTTTACGCTCCGATGTCGTGAATCAAATCCATCTCTGAGCAGCCCGTCTGCACCCTTGAATCCAGCAGGTCAAAAATGGTGAAATGGTGAAGCTTGGATGACAGTGACCGGGAAAACTGCCGGGGTATCCCGTTTCCGATCCAAACCTTCCTGTGGAGACATGGAGACAGAGTGATTTAGTCGTGGCATAACAGGTGTTTTCTGCGAGTGATTAGTCTGGTTTCCTCGTATATGGCTCCCGCAGAGCGGTTCTCATTCGTATGCATCTCTCATACCGGTCTCTGAATGGATTTCTGTTGCGCTGAGTGTCTCGTGCGTCATCTTTTCACACACCGCCGCACCTTGTGTGTCTTAGAATGAAACCCTGAGCAAAATTTGCAGAATGTTCTAGCGAATATTTCATCTTCGTAGAGCAATCGTGCTGTCAGTGCCTTATCAGAGCTTGTTATAATTCAGTTTCAGTTCAAATCATGCTGTGGCACAGAGTGTCCTTGCCGGCTCGATTATGGCTGTTATTTTATACAGTTTTATGATGTGATATGAAACTAAATAAAAAAAATGTATCTTGTTACAGTGCGTTTTTGCGGCCGAAGTTAGGGAAGCAGTATGAAGCCTCCTGTGTGGTGAGTGTATTAATAATCATAAGTGAACACCTTCACCTGTGAATAATCTTTCTTCTATCTCAAAATGTTTTAAGCCTAAATCAGAGGTTCATATATATATTTGATTAACTGATTTAACCTTAATATAACCTACTGAAATACCACAAAGAAATTACCTATACTGACAACCACTAGTACACACAAGTGAAAAAGAAAGCCACACACACATACAGTATATATATCCTCCTGAGACCCACCTATGGAGTTTTTGCCTCTGTAGTGGACATTATATTTGAGTGAATTTCTCTGAGACCTCACACGTCACAGTTTTAAGTCTGGATGTCCTGTACAGAGCACATTCAGGGCTTTCCAGAGATACCAAATGATTGGATGTTTCCCCGAGAACACTTCCTCTCCTTGGTTTTAAAAAATGGCTGACACTAATTTAGTGATAAAAATGTACATCCTTATGGAAATATGATAATATTTTGTAATTATAATTTAAATCTGACTAATTTTCTAATTGTTTGTCATAAATCAACATCTCAGGAAAATGTTATGGGGTTTCAAATCAAAATATGAGCTTCTGTTATGAAACGGGACATAATTTAATACATGTCCACTGTAGAGGAC